GTCCCTCATGTCTACTGATGAGATTGATATTTTTGAAGCAAGATTAGCTAGTCTTTTTGACATCACTTCTACTTCTCTGACATTCGATGAGGAGGCTGAGCCATTAGTTTTGGCTGATTCTTTGCTGGAAATTTTTGAGAGCTCTCCTTCCTCCAGCAGGCAACCTTCTGTTCCTTTGATAGACTTGGACACCTGTCTGGACCTGCTAATTTCTTTTTCGAGGATTCCCTTCGAGGCTCTACAAAGGCCTATAATTAAAAACGGGTTTCTTCAATGCTGCAAACTTGCTGAGCAGTCTGGTATGGATGTCTCTAACCACCTATCCCAGACTGCAGCTACTATTGATTTTTACATCAGCATCTGTCATGCTGCCAAGGCCGCAGATGAGAAATTGGTTAGAGATCAAAGTTTTGTTTCTCAAGTGCATACTGAAGTGTCGACGCTTAAGGAACAACACTCCTCTGCCTCTCACTTTCGAACTCAACTGTTGGAGAGGAAAGCTCAACTCGAAGAGGAGCTTTCTGCAGTGAATCAGGCCTTACTCCGAACTGACCTCAAATTGCAAATCACCAATCAAGGGCTGACTGATCAAAAGAGAGACATGGCTGCAGCTATTCAACTATTTTCGTCGTTTACCAATAGGAAGTCTGTTGTACAAAAACAGCTAAAACATTGTAATGATTTTTGGGCCAACTTGTGGCACAATGTACTTGACTCTTTATAAAACATTTCCTTGTTTACTATTTTATGTTCTTGTACTCAGTGTTTATTTTATTCCTTGTGTTTCCCAAATAGTTGGAAAATAAGGTTTTAAATATCTGCCATTAATCTTTTTGGGATGCATATAACCATTCAGATTTTTCAAATGGTATGCTCCAAAAGGCAAAACTCTATGAATTTGATATGGTCCTTCCCAGTTAGGTGACCATTTGCCAAATCTATGGCTTCTAATCCCTATTGGGAGTATTGTCTTCCACACCAAATCACCTTCATCGAAGCCAATGTGTTTGACTTTCTTGTTATAATTTTTGGTTGCTTTCTTCTTCTGAAAGAGAATGCTATTTAATGCCAAAATTCTAGCTTCATCTATGTCTTCTAACTCCAAGCACATACTC